CCCGGGGTGCAGGGTGGGGGGGGGGGGGACACGACACACCGGCGGGGTGTGGGAGCCGGTCACCGGCGTATGCCCGGCGGGGGGTCGGGAGGGGGGGCCGCCCGCACATGCCAGCGGGAGGGGGGGGCGGCGAGCAGCTCTCCCCCGCGTTTGGCGGCGGGAGACGGGACGCTGCGGTGCTTGTCAAGAGTGCGCCCCGCCGGAAAGCTGCTTCCAGCCGGCCCGGTGCGGCATCTGCGGCGGGACTGCAGCACCGCGGACCGGTCCGCCCCGTCGAGGGGGCTTCCCCCCCGCTCCCACCCGGTGCCGGCCTCCCGCGCTTTCCCCGTAGCTCGGCGCCCGAGAGGCGCCACCGGGCCGTGGCTGCCCGCTGCTGTCACTCGCTATTTTTAATTACACCAGCAAGCCGCGATGCACGTGCGAGCCCGCGTCCCGGGGGCGGCCGAAAAGGCTCCCCCAGCGTTTCCTCCGGGAAGCGACCGGGAACGACGGCCTCCCCCTAGCGCTGTCGAGCAGGATAAACCCCGCTTCAGGGAAGGGAGAGAGAGGGGGGAAAGACAACATCCCGCTTCCCTTTCCTCGGGAAATCGCCCCAGACACCTCCGAGGGGCTGGGCTGCCCCGCTCCCCGAGGAAGGCAGGGCCCGGCGGGGCCGCACTGCTCCCCCAGCCCCGCGCAGGAAGGTTGCCCCTGGGGCGAGGGCAGCGGGGGACGCTTCGGTCACCCCTTCTGGAGGCGGCGGGGACAGGGGGGTTCGGCAGGGGGTCTCCGCACGCTCCCACGCGAGTTTAGCGCTGCCAGCCTCGCGTGTGGAGCATGGCCGCCCACCCAGCGGTCGGGCCCGGCTGTGCTTCCCCCCTCCCCCTGCGGCATCGAGAGGGGTGCGAGGGGCGGCCGGCCCGGAGCGCGGGGGCGGCCTGGGGGACGCGGGAGCGGCTCGCACCTTCGAGGGGCAGCGACCCACCCACCGCTCCGTCACGGTACATGTCCCCGGGGGTGTGCCCGGGGAACACACACACACACACACACGAGGTTTCCCTCGGGGGAATCGCCCCCGGTGAGCGGGAACCCGTTAGAACGTTCTGGATCGGCCCCGCCGCTGGGGGATGATGCGGGGGGGTTAGGGACAGAAAGAGGGGGGGGGCGGGGCGCGGCGAGGGCACGCGCAGGAGATGCGGAGCCGAAAATTTTCCATCACTGCAGTTCTCCCCCGCCCCCATCCGGCACGTGACGTCACAGCCCCCCCCCTTTCCTCCCCCCCCGCATCCCGGCGCGTGAGGTGGCGGGGCGGGTTGCGCTGCGATGCGCTGCGGCGCCTTCCCGCGCAGCCCCGGGGCGGAGAGCGGCGGCGGCGGCGGCGTCGCACCTGCTTCCGCGGCGGCCCGGTGCCGTCGGGGGGAGGACAATGTGCCGCGGACCCCCACCGACGGTTGGCCAGGGCGGTGACGCCGCTGCTGGTCCTCGGGCCCCTCCCGAGCCCCCGGCGGTGTCGCCTGGGGCGGGAGGGGGGAGGCGGGCGGCGGTCGGGTACCGGCTGCCCCCGCGCGGGGGTTGGCATGGCC